GAGAGAGAGAGAGAGAGAGAGAGAGAGAGAGAGAGAGAGAGAGAGAGAGAAAATAAAAGCAAGAAAGAGTTAAGAACATAGCTCAATGCTCGGAATTCATTGCTAGAAAGAACAGTGCTCTTTCCAGGCCGGGGGTGGGGGGCTCAGTGTTAAAGCACCTGCCTAGCCCTGTGCAGCCAGTGAAGGGTGGGAGGGGAAAGGGGGCTTTTCAGGTAAGGACAGGGAAAATGAGCAGTGGGAACTGAGGATGGAGGTTGCCATAAAATTCGGGACAGAATTTAAGATACTATATTTAATGTCACAAGGTAACTTAGTGCTATTTTCTTCATTATGGAATACCCGGAAAAAAAAACTTACTCAAGCTAAACAAATGGTAAAGGTCCTACAAAACAAAATTATTCTGAGATTCAGATCTTGATAAGAAAGCTCAGACAACAATTAAACAAATGACCCTCATTGGGCCCCAAATTTTGTCATTCACCACTAGAAAAAAAAAAAACTATTTACAGACTGACTTGCAAACTGGAAGAAATGCATAGGCAAAACAGTGCTACCCTTAATGCCAGGTGCTTTCTCCTACCCATCAACTACCCTCAGCACCCAATTCAATACTGCACAAATGTACACTTCAAACTGAATCTCTCTCTCAAATCAAAAACATTGAAAAAGATGTCACAACAGAGCCTCCAACAAAGACATCGTGTTAGTACCATTATGAAGGATTTTGGTGCACTCTGGGATCTACCACTTAGATTTACCTTTACCCTAAGAAGCCTAAAACTATCACCAGGCTGACTCTGAAGGCGAAGGTCACATCCACCTACTAGAGCACTGCTCTAAATGCCTCAAATACCAACCTCATTTTCAATGTACAAGTTGAGCATCTCCCGGTCTATCTGCCACAGCAGCTGGTTCTCAATGGGCAGGTCCACAGTACTGGTCTTCACTTTGGCCTTCTTAGCTTGAGGTGGTTGGTCCATCTTTTTATCTTTTGATCCAGCTTGAGATGTCTAAAATGATTAAGAAAGAAACATATGCAGAACGATTTAAATTTCACAATGGGTCAAATGTCAAAAGACATTCCAGCATGAAGAATGTCAGTTTTCTGATGAGTGAGCAACAGGACTATCACACTAAGTAGATGGTAAGAACTACAAATGACATGAGACAACTAAAGCCAAATTCACAGAGGAGGACACATTAATGGAAGGTGTCAGGGCAGGGAGGTGAGGGGAAACTGGCAATTGAATAGTTTTAAGTGGGTATAACTTGATTTTCTCAGATGACAAAGTTCGAAAGATTGGTTTTACCACAATGTATATTTACTTAGTTCTATTTTGCTGTATATACTTCAATGTGCTTAGTTCATTATGCTTCACTTTATCATGTGTATTCTACCCAATTAAAATTTTTAAAACTTTAAATATACACATATATACCTAACCTTCTATAATCAACCTAACCATAATCAACACCGAGTCACTATATTTTTCAGGCTAGCTCGGTGGCAGCTTGAGTTCAATCCCAAGCACCGCAAACAAAATTCTCCTTTCACTCCTAACACCGCAGCTACTAGGCTCAAAGAACCATCCTACTGAACGACGTCCACAAACGCAATCCACTTAGCTTCATCTCATTGGTATTCTCTGTTTTCCTGGATCAATAGCCTGCCTTCAGATCCTTACAAACCAGATTCACTAATTATTTACCCACTACATTGTATCTACTGTGTCCTAAATGCTTTCAGGATTTCCCCAACAAACGACTGAGTCTTCTAGTTTTCTCCAATTTTATAGTCTTTTTTTATTGTCAAATATATCCATCATTTCCTGTACAATTACTTTTGTTGTTTTTAATGCTTTGAAAGCTTTTCCCCATCTACAGGTTAGAAAAATACTCCAACTCAAAACTGTCTTTGAAAGCTGTGCATAGTGGTACACACATTTAATCCCAGTATTCAGGAGGCTGAAGCAGGAAGATCACCTCAAGTTTCAGGCCAGTGTGAACTGAGCTGCTCATTAAGACCCTATTTCAAAAAACCAAAAAGTAAAAAACTGTATTCTAGTGTGAGTTTTTTTAACTTTTGAATTCATCTGCAACTGTTTGTTATATGGTGTGAGGAAAGACTCCAATGTCATCTCCCCAGTTTTGTTTTTGGTTTTGTTTTTTTTTTTCATCTTTTTGAAACAGGGTCTCACTATGCAGTTCAGGCTTTCGACTCACTCACTTTGCAGTCCAGGCTGGTCTCGAGCTCACAACGTCCTGCCCGCGCCTCCCAGGTGCTAAGGTTACAGGTGTGCACCACCACACCCAGCTCATTTCCCCAGTTATCCACATAACTTGCTAGCTACTGAAAACAGTGCATGTCATCTGTATTTCACTTGCCTTAGAAACAACATTATGACAGGCACTTTAGCTCCTGAGCACCCCACGGGAGCCCAAGTCCCCCAGAAACATGCCCAGCACAGGACTGGAGCCAGGAGGCTGGCACCTCTTTCTCCTGACACCCTAAAAGACAGAAACTCCTCTCTCCTGCTGCTGCTGCTGCTGCGGCCCCCCAGTCTTCCACCCACTAAAGAATTTGTGAACACAACCATCTCTGTCCTTTCTCCTTCGTAATGTACCACATGCAAGCTGCAGTCCAGCAAGTACAATTTCCCACTGACATACCACTTTAAGGTTCTGCCAAAAGTTGTGTAAATGCCAATGAGAAATTCTCCAAAATAGTGAGATTGGGGCCGGGGAGATGGCTCAGTAGGATAAGCACCTGACTGGCAAACGCAAGGATCTGCGTTCAATCCCGGGTTCCGCCAAAAAAAGAAAAATAGTGAGATGATACATTCCAATTTCTTAAGTAACTTTAAAGAGATGGTATTTTCAATGCTAAAAGCAAATCTGAACATAAAAATGGAAAATTAAGAAATCACTGAAATAGGGTACAAATGTTGCACATTCACTTTAGAATAAATGCATTATTTACAAAATGTACTTAAATACACCATTTATCTTTCAATAAAAAGACAAAGACAGCTAACAGAACCTGAAAAAAGTACCTAGTCTCACTCCTTGTAAGTAACAAACACATGAGTACTGTGGCGTAGAATGATCATCCTGCAGCCAGATGAGCAAATCCCTAGCCTGGCAAACCAGAGGTGCTAAAGGGTTCTCCTGTCCAATGTCCTCAACTCCACCAGAGCTGAAAAGCATCTTGTGAACGGCACTTTCCAAATCCACTACAAAATCTCGCAAGGAAACTATTTCAGTAAGTACAACAGCAAAACAATCTCCCAAGATGGGCCCTCATCCAAAACCACGTGTATTATAGAGACTTAAAGTAACTCAAACCTCCATCTCTTCAGACTCTGCCTTATTTTCTGCTGGTGTCTGCTGCTGTTGCTCTTCAACCTGTGGCTCTTCCTGGTCCACTTGCATCTTCTGAAAAACAGATCAAATTAAATCCTAAAACTAAAAACTATTCATGTAAGCAACCGTCAAGACATACTGACAAAGTGACACGACATGAAATTCTTGCTGAATTACCAGCAACCAGAAGACAGATGCTCCAATTCCAGCTGTACAACACACTGCCTGAAACAACAGCATCCTCTCTGGAACTCAGCTACTACATCTGTGCAACTGGGATAATGTTGCCCTCACCCTACTATTATATGAGCAAGAATGACTATGAATACTTTGTAAACCACGAAGTACTCATAATACACAATGTGGCATCATTCCACAACGGTGTCAGGACAGCCTGAGGCTTGCCCAGCTTCTTTATACGGGCAGAGGATTCCCACACCAGCCTCTTCATCCCAGAGGCATACCCACTGCACGCCACAGAAAAGGGGATAGCCAGGCATGGGAGACTGAGGCAGGAGGATTGTTGAGAGTTCAAGATCAGCCAGGGCTACAAAGTGAGCTCAAGGCCAACCTGAGCTGCATAGCGAGACCCTGTCTCAAAAAGACCAAAAAAAAAAAAATTTAAAAGAAAAAAAAAAAAAAGATAGGTTACTGTTGGTGTAACAAAGAGTTAATACAGAGGTGTGCTAAATAAACTGCAGGGCATGTGGAAGGAGGAAAAAGAAAACAGAGCAGCAGCAACATCTGCAGGAGTAACCAAGAACACTTGAAACTCAAAGACACCCTGCTTTTGTGTCCTTGCTCCAGATGCCTAGCAGGTTCTCACATATAGCCTAAACATTAATCTTAGACACATACAATAGGATCTTATTATGTTCACCTGAAGTAACACAAAGGCTGAAACTCAAAATGTTTAAAAACAAAGACCATAGGCCGGCTGCAGCCTTTTTGCCCAAGCCCTCGCTTTGCTTCCATTGAATGTCCCTTGTGTCTTTGTTTGCAGCCGGCGCCCGTGAGTCTTTCCCAACAGGTCACCCAAAGGCTCTCTCAGCAGGGATCCAGGGACAAGCCCAGACCAATGGCATACAAGAACTTGCATTAAGTGAGAATGACCATGGGGCTTTGAACATTGCTTAACTGGAGCCCCAGCCCAGAGAAATTCAAATAACAAGATCTTAGCATCTGTAATTTTACAAAGCTTTGACTCTGATGCAGATCTAGTGTATGTTTCCAGCAAACGGATGTATAACCTAATCTATTTGTGAAAGTAATGAATTGAGGTTCAAAGTGTCCCACAACCAGAAATGACTCACTCATTGGAGTTAAGAATGCATGATCTGAACCAAAAAGCCAACTTAGGCCCCATTTCTAAGAAAACTCAAGACACAAAGATCCTCCGCTGGCTGGGTGTGGAGGCGCACATATGTAATCCCAGCACTTCGGAGGCTGAAGCAGGAGGACCACTGCGAGTTCAAGGCCACCCTGGGCTACATAATGAGTTCAAAGCCAGGCTGAATTATTACATAGTGAGACCTGGTCTCAAAAAAAAAAAAAACAAAGGCCGGGGCCAAGGAGAGAGATAGTTGAATAAGTGCTTGCCTAGCAAGTACAAGGGCCTGAGTTCAATCCCCGGCTCCACAAAATAAATAAATAAATATAAAAGGCCTGAGGCTTGCCCAGCTTTGATGGATTTGTGGTCTAAGCACCTGCAAGCGCAAGGACCTGGGTTTGATCCCCAGTACTGTATGCAATGCCAGCCACCAAAACCAGGCATGACAGACAGCACATGCCTATAATCCCAGTGCTAGGGAAGCTGACACAGGAGGATCACCACAAGTCTGAGCTGCATAGTGAGGCCCTGTACTAAATGAAACGAAGAAAGAATAAATGAATTTTTAAAAGCCTGTCTACTAGTGCACCCATGTCGGGAAAAGAGACAACATATGTGCTCTGCCTTTGTCATTCAGGCTACCTGCTGCAATGTCAGGAAAGGCACCTCTAGGCCATCCTAAATGTTTGAAGACACTGATGGCAAACCTGTTAAAGAGTACCCAGCTATAAAACTGCAACCAAAGCTCACTTGTTTATTCCAAAGTACCAACACTACAATTAAATCTTTTCTAAACAACTCATACACTAACATCTTTAGTCATAAAGGAAAAACAAGTGACAGGACACAGGTTCACTACCACTGCTCTACAGTGCCAAATTACCTCCTCCTCCTTTGCACTTTGATCAGTCTCCATTGGTTCCTCGTTTTCCTCAGACTTGTGCACTTCCACGAGGGATGCACTGGACACACTGAAGATACCGTGGACATTTACACGAACCTTGACCTTTACTTTGGAACTGGAGCCATCAGACTGGGGGGTGACTTTCTGAACTGAAAACTGAGCTAAAGACAAAAAAAGAGAACATATAACAGTGAATTCCCGTAGAAGCCTCCTTCTCCCAGGTAACTAAGGTGGTACTTCCAACAGCCCAGTCAGGAGCAGAGGGCTCGGATGGACTGAGCACACTCCCTCCCCCCCATACATATTTTACATTACAGGGTCTACAGGGTCTCATTACAGAGCTCAGACTCTAGTGATCCTCTTGTTTTTCAGCCTCCCAAGCACTGGGATTATAGGCTCACACCACCACTCCAAGTCTCAGTAGCCCTTTCAGCACACCCGGGAAGAGGGGCCCACACGGCACTCCAAGGATCGAACCCCAGTCCCTGTGTCTGCCTAAGCAGGTACTTTAACCTGCTAAAGATCACAAGTTCAAGGCCAGCCTGGGTTACAAAGTGAGGTGAAGACTAGCATGAACTACATAATGAGACCCTGTCTCAAAACACACATACGGCCAGCCAGGTGTGGTGATGAGCGCCTGCAGTCCTAGCACTGGGGAGGCTGAAACAAAATGGATTGCCATGAGTCCAAAGGCAACTGGAAGGGAGGGGGAGATGGCACTATCTGGCAGGCTCCCTCCTGCTCTTTCACATATGGTCAATCTCTTATTAGCCTGGTTCCACCTAAGGGCTCCATTATTTCCTACACTGTTGCTTTTCCTCTTAATGAATATACTACAGCTATCCAGGTTCCTAAAACATACATTTGTCCTTTTCCTCTTTAAAAAAAAAAAAAAACAGGGCTGGTGAGATGGCTCAGTGGTCTAAAGCAGCTACTTAGAACAAGCTTAGCAAAGCACAGGGACCGCGGTTCAATCCCCCAGCACCACATGCCAGCCAGCCCCGCCCCCTGGTGGGCTAAACTGGCCACACACATACACACACACAAATAAATAAATTAAAAGAAAAAAAAAAAACACAGGGCCAGTAAAATAAGCGCTCAGTAGAATAAGCGCTTCCCTGGCAAGCGCAAGGGCCGGAGTTCAATCCCCAGGTCCAAAAAAAAAAACATCGCTTCTGTCATTCATCAAGAAACTAGCATTTCTAGACCGAATTATTATGAGGGTGTTACCTTTTTGCTTATTCCCACAACACTACTAAATATGAATTCTCATCCCTATTTTACAAATAAGAAAAGCAGAGTAAGCTACCTCCATTTCCACAGGTTCCAAGCACCACTGCGAACACTGGTGATATTCTACTCATGTATCATGATCTTTGTCTAACAGAGTTTATATATGTAGACTCTCTCCATACACATATACATATACACGCTAGCCAACACAGCTCCAAAACCTATGCCACGTTGACACTATATAAACTACCTCCTAAAGATTTTTTTCCCCTTTTTTAATGTATTTGGCAAAGGGTCTCTCTCACTTCACAGCTCGGACTCAGCGATCCTGTCTCAGTCTCCCCAGTGCTAGGATTACAGGTGTGCACCACCATGCCCGGTCTCAGGCACCAGGGAATCAAACCCCAGTCCCTGCACTTGCCTAAGCAGGCCTTTAGTCTGCTATCCCACCAGCCCCATCCTAATGATTTTAAGGTTAGAATGGAATTACATTTACTCTTCACACTTTTGTTTTCTCTCTTTTTGAGACTTTCACTAAGTTAGTTCAGGCTGGCCTTGACCTCACTTTGTAGCCCAGGCTGGTCTTGAACTCCCAATAATCCTGCCTCAGCCTCCTGAGTGCTGGGATTACAGGTGTGCGCCACCATACCTAGCTTACCTTTTATAGTCTTTAACTCTTTATCTAACACTACTTTATGCACAAAGCATAACCACGATGTGCAATAAATGAGAAAACTACCCCAAAAACGGGGAGCCAGTCTAGCTGGATGTGAGCCTGTTAATAAGACTGAAAGTTTCATTTTGTGGTCTAAAGTACCTAACTTCAGAATATTGCACCTGTTCTTTCTGCTGTCCCAGGTCTCCAAGTACCAACACACTTTGCATGTCCAATTCTACTCACCAATTGCAGAATCTGGGTAAGGCAAATCCTGAGGAGAGCTGTAATAAGCCTCAAGAGTAAAAGGTTCCTTTCTATAAAATGTGAGGACTTTGGAGAAAGGAGCAGCATGATTTTTTGAAAAGACTTCACAGTCACTGAATGAAAGAAAAAGACAAAAACATGCAAATTTAGAATGTTCCCAGCTCTAACCCATTCTAGGTTTGCTGATTATTGTACAGTCCTCGTTTCTCTCTTACTTGGCTTTATTTCCACAGTATGAGTTTCCAAGACTCTATATGAATAAAGTCAGTTAAAATGAAGGAATAAACTCAACTGGCACATAAAAGGCACCAATGATTTCCACAGATGCAAAAAGAAGAATCTAAATAAGGACACCAGTTTACCACGACTACAGGAACCGATCCCCTTACTCTACGGACTACAAGTTTATGTGCGGCAAAGAGGAGGACAGGGTGTCAAAGTAACACCGAGTGCGACTGGGATGAGCACAGATCTCACCTTAAGCCTTCTTCAGCTGGAGAGCTCCACCTCAGAGACACTGGGTACGGCACCACGTCAGTAATGGAGAACTCTCGGACTTTGAAAGCAGGCGATAAAATCGCACACTACAACAGTGAGTTTTAGAACCTCCATGTAATAAAGTATAAATATAACAAACTGATATCACTAGACAATTTGACACCATCACTAGGGGTCATCCCTAAATATTTGCATTAATAATTTAATTTAGGGCCGGGGAGATGGCTCAGTGGAATAAGTGCTTCCCTGGCAAGCTCAAGGGCCTGAGTTCAATCCCTGGTTCCGAAGGGAAAAAAAAAAAAAAAAAAATTTAATTTAAGTGTCTGAACAAGCAGTCTTACAACTTCTATCAAAGTATCTACATGTCTGTCCTATTCCTTTTTATTTTTCATCACCTCTCAAACCCTTATTTAATTGATATACATTGATATACACCATTTCATATAGATAGCAATATGCCAAATTCTAGCAGTATTTCAAGCTCAGAATTCCCCACATTTCTAAGTCACTTTCTTCATCTCATTAGGTATTAGCACAATTTCTTTCATGAACACCTGTGCAACATTTTTAAACCAAGGTGTCAGAAGCTTACACCTCAGGCCCCCTTGAGCTAAGGCAAGATGCCTCACCTGCAATGCACAGCCTCGAGTGACAGCTTCATCAGCATTTAATGTTGTACTAAGCTCTTTCCCGAAGTATTTGCTAATCTTCTCTTTTACTGCAGGGATTCGTGTGGCACCACCCACTATTTCCACTGCATAAATATCTTCTTTCTTTAACTCTGTTAAGACAATTAGACATTTAGATTAAAAGAGCATTTAAATTAGTATTTTATAATGAAACAAAATAGAGCCAGGTGTGATGGCACACACCTGTAATCCCAGCACTTAGAAGACTGTGGCAAAAGGATCACTGGGTTACAAAGTGAGGTGAAGACTAGCATGAACTACAGAGTGAGACCCTGTCTCAAAACACACATACGGCCAGCCAGGTGTGGTGATGAGCGCCTGCAGTGCTAACACTGGGGAGGCTGAAACAGGAGAATGGATTGCCATGAGTCCAAAGGCAACTGGAAGGGAGGGGGAGATGGCACTGGAGCCTCATGTCTTCATATCAGCTACCTGGGAAGCTGAGGCAGTAAGACTAAGCTCAGAAATTCCAGAATTACAAGCTAGCCTAGACAACATGGTAAGACCCCTTCTCAAAAAACGGAGGATTATTTCCTGGTGTGGAAAGAACACACTCCAGTGCCACAATCAACCACTATGATTGAAGACTTAAGTCCACATTGAATGGAGAATGTATCTCAACAGTGAAAACAAAGTCGGCAACCCAAAACACAGTGCACTGTATAAGAAACACTGTGCGCAAGATTTCAAGAAAATCACTAACGTACTCTTTTTTTTTTTTTTTTTTTGCAGAACCAGGGATTGAACTCAGACCCTTGCGCTTACCAGGGAAGCGTTTGTTCTACTGAGCCATCTTCCCCAGCCCCACTAACATATTCTTAAACTGCCACTTAGCATCCTGCCCAGGGAGGCAGTCCCCACTGTTATGGTTTGTGTCTAGTTGTCCCCACAAAGCCTCATGCAGTGACAAGGCAGGGACTTCTAGAGTTTGAGATTAATTCATGATCCACTGGGATTATGAATTTTTTTTTTTTTTTGTGGAACCAGGGATTGAACTCAGGCCCTCACACTGGTCAGGGAAGCGCTTATTCCACTGAGCCATCTCCCTGGCCCTGGGATTATGGCTCTTAGTACTGCTGGGATTATGGGTGTAAGTACTCCCCCCAGCCTGGGGCAGACAGCCTGAATGTAACATAGAGAGAGACAGATAGAATTCCTCTCTGTAGCAACTGTTGCTGTTACTCCTCCACTCTGCTCTTGCTCCTTGCCACCACCATGAACTGCTGCCCTCTGCCATGTACCAGTCTGTCTTGGAGCCAGCTGAGTATTGACTGAAACCTCCAGTAATTATGAGCTGCATAAACTTTCCCTTCCTTCATTCTGAGGGTCCGATATTTGTTCCAGCAATGAGAGAAGAGTAACTGAGACAGAATTTGGTACTGCAGGAGTGGGGTCGTTGCTGTGGATAAACCTGACTGTGGATTACGACTTTTGGGGAATGGTTTATGGGAAGAGATAGGAAAGCTTTGGACATGTCACCTACTAGTGAAAGGCTAGAACGCCTTCGGTTCTTCTATAGGGGAGAGTCTAGTCAGAGCTCATAAGACCAGAATGCTATAAAGACCAGGCTGGGGGCTTCTGCTGGGAAGAAGGACTGCATTGGTTTCTGCATTTTGCTTATGTCCAGAGACTTTAAGCATAGTGGACTGATTAATCTGGCAAAGATATATCAAAACACCCAAATACTGAGCAAGTGGCATAGATGTTACCGGCAGCTTCTAGCCAGATTTATGTTGAGAATCAACAGCAAAGAGCCTAGCAGGATGATTTAAAATGTGAATTTAGCCAGAAAGGAAGCTAAAATAAAGCTGGGAATGCAAAGACAGAGCTGAGAGGATCTCCACTGCCAAGAAGGAACAAGGGAATGTACAGCATGAGGACATCACAGGAGGCAGCAGGTCTCCACCCTTTGCAGCCTCGGAATTGCAAGGGTAAGGGACTATGCCTTGAAAGGAAAGCTGAAGAGTTGTATCTTTCGGAATGGTGACAGCGGCCTCACCAGACTCCAGAATGGCACCCGCATGGAAAATTTATTTCTTGGAATCAGGGTCAGAGTGCTCAGCAATCCAGGCACTTGACCCGTACAGCCAAGAGAGAAGGAAGCCTGGCTACTGTTCCAGCTGAAAGCAGACCTTGGCATCATCCTCGTGGCACTGGTTTTATTTGCTTGCAGAATGCAGCAGTTCTGGGGTTAAGAAGGCTTTCACCTCTACTTCAGAAGGCCTGAGAGGCCAGGTCGTATGCCCGTGAGAGGGCAGTGTGAAGCTGAGAGTGAGAAGCTTAATGTGCAGTGGAATCCTACTTTTTCTTTTTTCTTTTTTTTTTTTTTTTTTTGGTGGAACCGGGGATTGAACTAAGGTCCGTGCGCTTGCCAGGGAAGGGTTTATTCCACTGAGCCATCTCCCCAGTCCCTTAATGTGCAGTGGAAACCCCAGAAGGCTGGAAAAGCCAGGAATGTGGATCATCTAAGGGAAACTGCAAGGAGGGAGCAAAGCTAGACTAAGAAGACATGGGACCTACCACCAAAAGTGCCATAGGGGTGGAACCACACAGAGCTCACAATTTGCCACAGACTGCTTTGGATACTCCACTTGAAACTATAGGATTTAATGTTTGCCCTGCTGGATTTTAGACTTGTGTTGGTCCCAATGCTTGGTATCCTGCTGTGTGTACTTTTGGAATAGTAATGTTGGAACTGTTTAACTTTTCTTTTATACAGGGGCTCACAGCTAAGAGTTTGCCTTGGATCTTGGAGGAGACCTGGGACTTAGACTCTTCAGCAATGCTGAAACTGTAGGGTCTTTGGCAACTCTTAGAGATGGACTACAATGGCTTTTGCACAAAGGGATATGCATGAAACTCTGGGGGTCCAGGGCACAATGCTATGGTTTGTGTCTAGTTGCTACCCCAAAGCTTCATGCAGTCATGGGGAGTGGACTTTTAGAGTTTGAAATTAATTCATAATCCACTGGAAGTATGGATCTTAGTACTGCTGGGATTATGGGTGTACTTCCCCTAGGCTGGGGTGGATAGCCGGAATGCAACTTAAGACAGACTTCCTCTCAGTTGCTACTACTGTTGCTGCTATGCCTGCATTTTGCTCTCTGTTCTTTGTAGCCACCATGAAAGGTTGCTCTCTGCCATGTGCCGCTCTGCCTTGCAGCCAGCCCAGAGCCAGCCGAGTATGGACTAAAACCTCCAGTAACTATGAGCTAAATAAACCTTTTCTTCCTTCATTTTGAGTGCCAGGTATTTGTCCCAGCAACGAGAGAAGAGTAACTGAGATACCCACCTTGAAGTAAACCCAGTTTGCTCAGGTGGCTGCTCAAGGCAGTGTGAGCAATTTAATACAGCTGCTTCTCAAAAGAAAAACTGTTAAGGAGCCAGGGATGCAGTTCAGTGGCAGAGCACCCTTGGGTTCAACCCCTTGTACTGCAAAAAAGGAAAAGCTAAAGCATCCTATTAAATGAGGTCATTGTCATAGGCTGCTTTTGCTGAATCTCTCTGCTAATCAAGAATTCACTGGCTGAAAAGCTTCCTAGCACATTAGCACTCCAAAAGACAACTTTCAATAAATAACTGAAAAGCTTATACCTATCTCTGAATCTCAATTAGTTTTCTAGGATAAACTTTCTCGATTTCCCTAGGTAAGTATCAAAGGTTACTCTGGGGAAGGAGGCATTCCAGAGGAAAGATAAAAGATAAAAAGATGTATACTGCTTAGGAAAAAAAAGAGACACACCACAGATAGTGTGCGGCACACAGGACTCACTCACAAGAATACTTACTGGCTTGCTCCAAAACACTACGAAGTGGCGGCTCCACTCTAGCTAAGAGGTCATCACACATTGCCAGAAATTTGCCTCTGTTAGAAAAAACAACAGCAGGTTAAATCATATCCCACTTTCATGTATGATGGATTATAACTGAAAACCAGTAATTACTACAAAGACAACAATATGCAATGTATTAATTATTGTAACTGTCCTACTAACCTGTTTAGAAACTGTCTCATTGCTACTTCTCTCTCAATAAAATATTAATAAAAAAGAAAACTAGGTAATAACCAGTGTTGGTAAAGATGTGCAAAAATAAACTACACATATTACTGAGTGATGTAAAATGCAAATGGCACACTGGGTTTTCTTTTTCTTTCTTTGAGACAAAGTCTTACTATGTAGCCCAGGCTGGCCTCGAGTGACTCTCCTACTTCAGCCTCCCAAGTGTCGGATTACAGGTGTGAGCCATCACCATGAAATCACCATGTTGCCCAGGCTGTTCACTTATGGTGTTAACTATAAAATTCTCTTAACGGGGCTGGAGAGATGGCTCAGTGGTCTAAAGCACCTACTTGAAACAAGCTTGTCAAAGCACAGGGACTTCGGTTCGATCCCCCAGCACCACATGCCAGCCAGCCCCGCCCCCTGGTGGGCTGAGCTGGCCACACACACAATAAATAAATGTAATAAATAAATAATTTTTAAAAAAAAAATTCTCTTAACTTTGCTGGATACTTGAAAATGTCAACAATTAAAAGCATGAAAAGTCTCCATGCTAGATGTAAGCTTCGTTCTCCTGTAAAGAGGTAAATGTGATGCCAATAAAATTTAACAAAATCAAAAAGAAAACAAGGGGGAAAAGCCAGCATGAATAGCTGAGGCTGATTCTGGTCCTCCCACACAGGAACTACTGAAGACCATGGTGCTCCGCTATCCCATGGCTGTGGGCCTCAACAAGGGCCACAAGGTGACTACAAATGTGAGCAAACCGAGGCACAGCACCACCGCGGACGTCTCACCAAACACACCAAGTTCCCATGGGACAGGATCAGGGAGGTGTATGGCTTCGCCCCTACGAGCGGCGCACCATAGAGCTGTTCAAGGTCTCCAAGGACAGGGCCGGGGAGATGGCTCAGTAGAACAAGTGCTTGCCTGGCAAGCACAAGAGCCTGAGTTCAATCCCCCATTCTGCAAAAACAAAACAAAACAAAAAACAGACAAGCGCACCCTCAAGTTCATCAAGAAAAGGGTGAGGACGCACATCTGTGCGAAGAGGAAGTGTGAGGAGCTGAGCAACGTGCTGGCCACCATGAGGAAGGCAGCTGCCAAGGACTGAGCCTCTCTGGAATAAAGCTTTGCAGGAAAAAAAAAGAAAAGAAAAGCTGAGGCTGGAGGTATAGCTCTGTGGTTAAGAGTGCTTGCTAGGGTCCATGCTTGATATCCTGCATCTTTGAAGAACCAGCAAACAAATGGAACAAAGGACTAGGAAAATGGCAGCAGCAAAGGTTTCTGACAGTTTCTTTTTTTTAAAGCTTTGCTGAAATACTATTCACAGACCACAGACTTCCCCTGAAGGGCGTAAGTCAATGATTTTCCTTTAAGATGCTAGGGACTGGGGCTGGGGAGATGACTCAGTGGAATAAGCACTTCCCTGGCAAGCACAAGGGCCTAAGCTCAATCCCCAGTTCCGCAAAAAAATAAATAAATAAATAAATAAATAAATAAATAAATAAAGATGCTGGGGACTGAGCACTGCGCTTTCACGCATGCTGGCCACGAGCTCTACATCTCATTTTTCTTTTCTTCCCACCACCCCTTCCGGGAACCGGGGATTGAACTCAGGCCCTTGTGCTTGCCAGGCCAGCACTTATTCTACTGAGCCATCTCCTCAGCCCCTACATCTCATTTTTCTTTTGTACTAGGGCACTGCGCAGCCACCACCAGCCTCTCTCAGCCCCCATACCTTAGATTCCCAAGTACTGGGATTATAGGCGTGCACTTCCATGCTAATTTACATTTTCATATTAGCAGTTTCTCTGTAATAGTGTCCTCGTACCAAAACAAAGGGGAAAGAAAACATTTTTTTTGTGGGAGGGGTGTGTTTTGAGTCTGGGTCTCGTTATATAGTTCAGGTTGGCCTCAAACACATGGCAATCTTCCTGCCTCAGCCTCCAAGGGCTGAAAGTACAGGTGTGTACCACCACAGCTGGCTGAAATACATTTTTAAAAAGGAGTCAGGAACACAGCCCAGGAGAACAGCTGCTTACCAAGTGTGAGGCCCTGGGTTCAGTCTCCAGCGGGGGGAGGGGAGAGGGGAGCATGGGGGAGAATAAGACAAGAAAATGATCTTTCAACAATCAAAGTGAAAAGACAGTACCATAAAATCAAAGAAACTGACACTAACAGGTGACAGTGGGGATGCTGAAAAAATGGAAGCCTCAAACACTGCTGAGGCGAGTGCTGAAAATTGACCAACTTTAACAAGGAAAGAAAATAGCAAGGAAGAGGGTTTGGTGATTCCTCCCAAAGCTATAAAATTATAGGACAAGCCAGCATTTCCATATGTACCCAAAGAACTGAGAGCCACACCCAGAACCAAGTATTTGTTCACAGCACCATCCACAACAACTGCAAGGAGCAACAATTCAAAACACCCTCAACTAGTGGACAAATAAATAAAAACTGTGATACAACCATACAATGGGGGCCAGGGAGATAGCTCAGTGGAATAAGCACTTGCCTGGCAAGCGAAAGGACTTGAGTTCAATCCCTGGTTCCACCAAAAAAAAAAAAAAAAAAATCATACAATGAAGCATTATATGCACAAAAAAGGTACTGCTATGTGGATGAACCTGAAAAAATACTAAATGAAAACAGCCAGACACGTACATTTGTGTAATTAAGAACCAAAATGTGCCAGCCCCGCCCTCGGGGCATGCTGAGATGGCAAGTGAGACTGGGCACGGTGGCGTGCGCCTATAATCCCAGCTCTTGGGAGGCTGTAAACAGGTGGCCCACCATGAGGCCAATCTAGTAGAGAGACCCTGAATATCCTGTAGACCATTCCTAAAATACAAAAAAAAGAACCAAAATGTGTAAGCATTGTGAAATAGAAGAAAACGTTCAAATGGAGAGGGGAACAATGGATGAGCAGTGAAAAAGAGAAAAGGAGGAAAAAATGAAAACAGATCTTTTGTAAATGGGGAAGGGAAGAAGAGGGGAGATGAATGGGAAAAAGTTGTATCAGGTACAAATTCTCTGTAACAAATATGATCATTATGGGAGATGGCTCAGTGGAATAAGTGCTTCCCTGGCGAGCGCAAGAGGCTGAGATCAATCCCCGGTTCCACAAAAAAAAAAGCGAATATGATCATTATGTATTATCTAAAATGTAGCGGCTTTGCGACAGCGCTCCTTTTGGTTCCGCCGATCCGCGGCCTAAGAGGCAGTCATGGCACCCAGCCGGAATGGCATGATTCTGAAGCCCCACTTCCACAAGGACTGGCAGCGGCGTGTGGCTACGTGGTTCAACCAGCCAGCTCGGAAGATCCGCAGGCGCAAGGCCCGGCAGGCCAAAGCCCGCCGCATCGCCCCGCGCCCCGCGCCCGGGCCCATCCGGCCCATCGTGCGCTGCCCCACCGTGCGCTACCACACCAAGGTCCGAGCCGGCAGGGGCTTCAGCCTGGAAGAGCTGCGGGTGGCCGGTATTCACAAGAAGGTGGCCCAGACCATTGGCATCTCGGTGGACCCGAGGCGGCGGAACAAATCCACCGAGTCCCTGCAGGCCAACGTGCAGCGGCTGAAAGAGTACCGCTCCAAACTCATCCTCTTCCCCAGGAAGCCATCGGCCCCCAAAAAGGGAGACAGCTCGGCTGAAGAACTCAAGTTGGCCGCCCAGCTGACAGGACCTGTGATGCCCATCAGGAATGTCTACAAGAAGGAGAAGGCCAGGGTCATCACAGAGGAGGAAAAGAACTTCAAGGCATTCGCCAGTCTGCGCATGGCCCGTGCCAACGCCCGGCTCTTTGGCATCCGGGCGAAGAGAGCCAAGGAAGCCGCAGAGCAGGATGTTGAGAAGAAAAAATAAAACACTGTTGGGATCTTGTAATAAATGCTCAGAAAAGCCAAAAAATAAAAAATAAAATAAAATAAAATAAAATGTAGCAATAAAATCTAATTAAAAAATAAAGACATTAATGAGTAAGTAAAGGCTATAAAATGAAGCATATATGCAGCTACAGTGGTACATGTCTATAATCCTAGCACTTTGGGAAACTGAGGTGGGGAAAGGAGGAGTCACAAGTTCAAGTCTTGTTTGAACAAATCAAGACCCTGCCTCAAAATAAAAAATGAAAGGGACTGGGGACTGGCTCAATGGCAAAGCAACTACACGATTCTTGGAAGGGAAGGAAGGAAAGACAGAAAGAGGGAAAGGAGAAGAAAGTAAAGAGGAAGAAATGGAAGGAGAGTAACGGGTCCATGTCCCACCAATGCAGACACAGTACAATGTGTTTTAAAAAACCAGCACACAGGCAAACCAGTTTCTACTTAAAGGTTATCAGCCCTGTAAACTTGTAACATCTCCCTAACAACTTGTGAAATACACACTGGCTTAGCCACCGTCTCCAGAAAACATGCACACACACAAAACCTGCTGCTCAATAAAAATGAAGTTATTACTTCCAAGTAAGAGAAAAGACAAGTTAAAATTAGGATACTAGGCAACAGCAAACGCCATGTCCATTTTCTAAAGATCACTGGGACATGCTTCTCTAAACAAGCTATTGGTCCTGTCTGAAATCTATCAGCAGAGCTCACAGCCAAAAGAACACATTCCCATCAACCAAGCAACACAACCAGGCAACAATAACACTGAGTGTTTCTGAGAATGGCCCTAAAGGTCAATTATGCAAAATCCTTACAGTGCTGTACAAAAACAGCTACTGCTCCAAGTGATCCTGAGCCAAAAACAGTGACTTCCAAATCAATGGCTAAATTCAACTTAATTCTAAATAAAGTATTTTGCCCTAGCTTTATGATAACTGGTAACTCACGGATAATGTATAATGTATAATGTAGGTGCATCTTAGAACTATTAACTTCCTAGAATTACTCAAAATAAAAATACTAGTCTCTGGTAAAGAAATAATCAAGCCCAACCTTTACATAAAAACTAAGCCAGGGCCGGGGAGATGGCTCAGTGGAATAAGCGCTTCCCTGGCAAGCGCAAGGGCCTGAGTTCAATCCCCAGTTCTGCCACAAAAAAAAAAAAAAAAAAAAATGAAGCTATTGTATTAACAACCATCATAATTTCAACAATTAGTAAAGTAAGGTAAGGGGAAAAAAAAATCACAATTTGGTTCAACATCAAAATATGAATAGTTACCTATTCATAGTTCCAGATACATCGACATCATTCATAAAGCATTCAATGCTCAAAGGGAGGTCGGAAGCATTTGCACTCATCAACTTCTTGAGTTTCTCACATTCTTGAGATAGTCGTAATAATGCACGGATTTTAGACTTTATGTCTAGCTTGTATTTCTTCCCAAATTCTTCACAGAAGTGATTTACTAACACCTCATCAAACTTCCTGCCTCCCAGTGTTGTGTCAAACGCTGTAGCCAAAACCTTAGGAAAAAATAATTAATCCAACAATTAACCAATTCATTCTAAAATTTATCATGATATATATTTAAATTGTTCAAAAAATAAGGCATGCATTTCAAGGTTGGAACAAGGCAATATGTACATGTCCCTTAATCCTTGATAAAAGACACTGACAAATAGACACCATAATTCCCAATGTACAAGTCACGCTGCAGATGCACACAAGTGAGTAACCTGCAGGTCACAATGTTACTGAAGTTGCAGAGGTGAAATTCAAAACGTGATTTCAAAAGCCAGGCCCAGGCAGGGTCCTGAGTTTAATCACCAGTACCGCCAAAAAGAAAAAAAAAAAAAAAAAAAAAACTTGCAACAATCTGCACAAAATCCACGCTTCTCCACTCAGCTAATCCGACTCCTGACAGCAATGAGGATGGACAGCCTA